TAGAAAGCCATCTTGGATCATTTCAGGAAATATCTATCTCACTACTTGTATTCATAGCTCACATTAACATCCTGATCTCAGTATACAGTGTCCAAATGATATTATCTATCTGGTCAGATGACTTTTTATAATTGTCAATTAAAAACTTTTTACCCTTAAAGCCCCTGATTGTAACCCTTATAGATTCGGCCTCATTCCTTATACAAAGAGCCACTCCACCCTTCTTTTAAAATCTATCACTATTAAGTAACATAACCTGGAATTTCAAAACAACTCCTATCATTAGCATTTTCTAAATTTAATCAAGTTTCGGTAATTCCCATTATGTCGTAGTATTTCATTATAACTAGAGCACTCGTTTACCACAATGAAAATTTTATATTATTATGTTTGTTAACAAAAATACAAACAAATGAAGAAATGGAAGAACATTGAAGTCAAACGAATATGCATCCTCATTCATCGTGACTTTTAGGATCTTTTTAGTCTTTAGATCTTTTAGTCTCAAAACTACGTGTTGTGGTCTTTCTTTTATGTACTGCATTATGACGTTTTGTGAAAAATCTGTACGTGATGGAGAAAAATGGATTCAGCGTACAGGAATTACTATAAAACAACATGTAACAATTTCAAGACAATAAAACCATCGCAGACCTGTGTAATCAAATAGATTTTTTATATCACATAGCTTATTTCATTAATTCTTTATAAGTGAGATTGCTATTATTAAAGTTTATGCATGATAATGAGTAATATTAAGTGTATTAGGAGTAAAATGATCGAGTAATAAATCATTTATTTTTATCAGATTCTTTGATAACAAAGACCTACGAATTTAAACTTCATAAATGTTGTTTTTGGTTTTAATAACGGATCTTCTATAATTCAGCTACGTAGATTTCGAAAATAATAATATTATTTTTTTCTATCACGTAAGAATTTTTTTACAAATCGGGAAGAAATAAAACTCTTACTTAGTTAAAATTATTATTTGATTTTAATCTCAAAGATGGGAAGCATGTGCTGAATAATTTAGATGGTCCATAATTTTAATCTCAAAGGTGGAAGTGGCCATAAAGCTAGTGTGGAACATCTTATTGGTTGCATCACATTAATAAAGCTGGTGTGGAACATCTTATTGGTTGCATCACATTAATAACGTATACTGAATTGCTTGGTGTGCAAGATGTAAGAGAAGTATTTTAGTAAAATAAGTTTGAAACAAAATATATGCTAAAAACAATAATTTTATTGTTGAAAAGGGAGTACCAGTGTAACTACGTTTCTCCACCTTCTCAAAGCATATGTTGAATTAATGAATGATGGTGTTAAAAAAATTAATATGAGCATTGATCTTATGGAAATGTTGGGTATCGAAGTTGGGTGTTTCTGGAGTTCTGAATAGATTTTGGTAGTATGCAGCAAAGAGATCAGTTTTTTTCTTGACCTGTTGCTGCTGTTAGATTATTATATTTTCAATTGGAGAATTCTTTGATTTTACTGTCGTTACATATAGTTTTGGATTTCTGCCAGAAAAGAGCTGGGTTATTATTGGAATTATCTATGGAAATGCAAAAGTTTTCCAAGTAAGTCTCTTTTCTTGTTGGTTTCAGAATTGATGCTTGATTTTAGTGTATGACCGTGGGTTCTAATGAACTCTCGTGGTAGCCTGCGTCTCTTTTGGACAGTTCTTAAATTTCGTTTGTTAGGTTACATCTGTTGGGGGTGAGTAGATATGCTTTGTGTTGGGAATATCGTGTGAATAACTGTGGTTATGTCTTGTGAAATGATGTCAGCGTAATTGTCTATGTGTGTTTTGTTGTGCACTGTTTCGTGGATTTCTGGCTACCACGTTTTATATTTTACATCCTAAGCCTTCTTTCGTGTAACTTTTATTAGTTAAAACGATTCGGTTTATGTTAAGAACACTGGAGCACCCACACCTCTTCATAATTTAAATTTTAGCTTTGTTCAACTTATGTTAAGGTTGGGAATCCGCGTTTTTGTGGATACTTTTAAATGTATCAGAATATTACATTATCATTTTTTTAATACTGTAACACAACTGGTCCCATTGTTTAAAGCTCCTAGTTTCTAAGCCTTGTAAGCCTTTTATCAATTGAAAACTTTAATTCATCCGGTCTATGTAGGCCAATTGTTTTGGAAGATCCCTTCTGTGGTAAAGAATCAATGGCTCATAAAAGAACAACTCTACTCCATTTTGAAATTCCCGGTTTAAATAATGTATATTCAATTTGGCTACATTCAAAGGCTCATAAAGTTGGCTTAATATCATTGTGATATTTTTATATATTGTCTTGATGAATATTCTTTAGTCTGGTATATACGTTATTGGAAATATGTTCCACTATTGTCCACAATGGTACAAAGTAATAACATAATAAATTTATCCTTCTGTTTCATTTGACCAAGTATTTCTGAAGACAATGATTTGAAGTTTAGGTGTGGGTAAGAGCACCTACATTTACTAATAGTTTAAATTTTAGCTTTATTTCACATATATTGAGGTTTGGAATTTAAAGATAATGCTAATAAATGTTGAATCAACAACGGATAGGGTGTTCCAAAGTTTGAAGAGATCTCTACTACTAGATTAGTTAGTTCTTATTCTAAAAAACGTTCGATCCTGCCTTAATCTTTTACTTCTGTTTCTCATCAATATTCACGCTGGAAACATCAAAACTACTATCAATAATTTTTGTAATTTTCTATTGTTACTATAATCCCTTTCTTTCTAACACATTAGTACTGACCTCCTAAGCTGAATTTATATATATATATATATAATACATATTTAAATGGTGTAAAAACAGCCTAAGATACCACCAAAATTACTTTTATATAGTTACTATATTTCAAACTGAATTCAACACTGGTAGATGAAAGACACAGATGAATAATTTTTATGAGAACAATTCAGCATAATTATGTAATCGAATCATCGTTTCACCTTTATGGCTTCATCAGTGCTCTAACAGAGCAGAATGATATAATAAGTTAGACTAGATTATGATGTAAATTTTCTATTTCACATGACATTAGCCACAACGTGTTCTGAGCTAGGTTATAAATAACATTCTTACAAAACTAAAGTTACAGAGTAATAATAATAATAATAATAATATAATACACATAGATCTTTTTTTTTTAAAGGTTTAGAAATAAACACTGAGTTTCTAATGTATTGAAAATGCCAGCTTTGCCTCTGTTGATTGTAGGTTGGAGTTAAGAAATGAATAAAGTTTCTGTGTATTTCCTTTCAAGGAAAAACTACCTATTGACAAGTATTCTGGGCTGTGTGGAAAAACCCATATTGGTATAACTGTCATAGATCTGTTGAACTGAAGCACTCACGTTTGATTAAAATTTGTAGATGGTATCAACTCTAATCGGAAGGCCAAATTTTTTCTACATTTCTTTATCTCAGTAGTGAAGTGGATATTGATGCTGTAAAACTTTTTCCTTCATATCCACTCTGCAGCCAATTCATGTCCATTTTATTTTACTTAAGAGCAATGGAATAGACGTGCAGAATAACAAGAGATTCGATCCAGATATTTACTATGGGATATATTATTGATTCTCTAAATAACCGAGTTTCGATATTGAAATAAATAAAATGGAAAAAAGTTCAAATACGAAATGAAAAATCTTTATTAAAACACAAAACAACAAACACAGTGTGTGTACTTGCTTTAAGACGCTGAACGTCACTTTTACTGGATCTTTCTTCACACTGCTTACTCTCCAAGACTATGTACCAGACTGTTTAAATCTAATGTTGTATATAAGAGACGTTGTATTTACCCAGAGTGCCTAGCGCCACTTACATGATGGTCATTCTCATGTTACCATACCTATGTGAGGCTATAACCTAGAAACGCTACCAGTTCTGTCATTGAACGACTCTGCTGTCGACATTCTTGCACAACATACAGCATTACGACAACATAACTATGCAGAACATGTATTATCTCTTAGAGAATGACAAAGGAACAAAATCAGATAGAACGAGATTAAATTAACAGTTTCCTCCATCATGTGTTGTGTAACATTTGTACATATACAGAATAAAGGATAAATTCAGAAGAAATCCTATTATAATACAAGACGATAGAAATGCATGATATATTTATATACCAGTGTACAGAATAGTAAACACGACTATTACTTTCGATTTCTGTTGAGTTATGGCACGACTCTTTGAGGTATATAGTTAAATAGTAGTTTGTTTATATAACTTTCTGAGTACCTTTTAATTTTAAGGATGAATTTTAAATGTGTGTGTGAGCTTCCATTTTAAAACGGTCAGGATGGCTAGAATTTGTTTTAATACATTTCATTTCAACAGTTATTATATC